TTCTTTACCCATTCATCTACCCATGGACACTTGAGCTGCTTCCATACTTTAGCTGTTGTAGATAATGCTGCTTATAAACACAGGGGTGTGTGTATCCCTTTGAATTAGTGTTTAGTTGTTTTGCTCTAGTAGTGTGATTACTGGATAGTAGGGTAGCTCTATTTTTAACTTCTTGAGGAACCTCCATACTGTTTTCCACAGTGACTACACCAGTTTGCATTCTCACCAACAGTGTAAGAGTGTTCCTTTTTCTCCACATCCTTGCCCCCACTTGTTTGTGTTTTTGATTTTAGCCATTCTGACAGATATGAGGTGGTATCTCATTGTAGTTTTGATTTGCATTTCCCTGATGATGAGTGATGTTGAGCATCTTTTCATGTGTCTATTGGCCATCTGTAGGTTTTCCCTGGAGAAATGTCCATTCATGTCTTCTGCCCATTTTTAAATGGATTATATTTTTGGGGCGTTGTTGTATCAGTTCTTTATATATTTTGGGTACTAGCCCTTTATTGGATATGGCATTTGCAAATATCTTCTTCCATTCAGTAGGTTGCCTTTTAGATTTGTTGATGGTCTCCTTCACTGTCCTTGATTTTTTTTTAATGTAAAAATAGTATCTTTAGCGTAAGCAAGATCTGTATTGCCATAGAAAATAGGTTACGTTTTCCATTAAATTTCTTTAATGACAGAAGATAGGTGTTTTCTTTTTTTTTTTTTTTTTAAAGATTTTATTTATTTATTTGAGAGAATGAGATAGAGCATGAGAGGGGGAGGGTCAGAGGGAGAAGCAGACTCCCTGCCGAGCAGGGAGCCCGATGCGGGACTCGATCCCGGGACTCCAGGATCATGACTTGAGCCGAAGGCAGTCGCTTAACCAACTGAGCCACCCAGGCGCCCGATAGGTGTTTTCTTTAAGGAAGAATTGGATTTTACCAGATAGCTTCTATCTACCTAGTGAGACACTTTTGAGCTTCCTATTTTATTTTTTTCTTTTTTTAAAGATTTTATTTATTTATTTGACAGCGAGAGAGGGAACACAAGCAGGGGGAGTGGGAGAGGGAGAAGCAGGCTTCCCGTGGAGCAGGGAGCCTGATGCGGGGCTCGATCCCAGAATCCTGGGATCATGACCTGAGCTGAAGGCAGACACTTAACGACTGAGCCACCCAGGTGCCCTGAGTTTCCTGTTGATTTTCAAAGGAATATTATAGTGTTATACAAATTGTTCCCAGTAATTATCGGTCACAGAAGAAACTAGAAAGAACAACAGCTGCCGTGTAAGAGCGCACTCCTGTCAGATCCTGGCCAGGGGCTTCCATTCCTTGTCCCAGTTAATACACCGGCCCTGTCGGGCGTGGTGTTCCTGTCTGCTGCTGAGAAAGCTGATGCCACGTGGAGTTAAGTGATCGGCTCAAGGTCACACAGGAAGTAAGTGGCAAAGCCAGGGTCCCAAACCTTTGCTCTTACATACCATGCTAACATTTGGTTGTATGGTGACAGACAGATTCAGACTATTAAAAGAACTAAAAACAAAATTTGAGATCCTTTTCAAAACCTTACTGAAGAAAAACTGTAGTTTGTATCTAATTTAGTTATCCCTAGTTATAGGGCACACTTGATTCTGAGCATTACTGATTATAGCTCAGATCAAAGATTGGTCTCTTTATGCTACTATAGACCAAAGGTGTATCTGTCCATTCAGAATAATTAAAGCAATATTTCTGAAGAGTCAGCACAGAAAGTTTGTCAAGGTTCATGACCTAGGTACAAAGCAGTTGGATCAGCACAAACAGAAGAGGCAGTTGGGAGCAGGAAGGAGCCAGGGTTTGGCACAAGCCCCTTCTGCTGGGGGTGGGGAGCAGGGAGGCAGCTCTTGGCAACAGGATGACTGGCTGAAGAAGATGGGCTGGGAGGAGGTCTAAGTAGGGATCAGACTGGGCTATTGAGTGGCTTCCTTTTAAGTACATGTGGCAAAACCTCTATTGGTTTCCCAAGGGGAAGTTAGACCTAGTTCAGAACAGGACACTGATCCCCTCCTTGAGGACCAGAGCCCTGGGCAGGGGAATAGTCAGGACTGGGGAGGAAGAGCTGAGATGGGTGCTTGTGTTACTTGCTCTGGATCTCGTGCTTCATGGGTGCTCTCAAGGCTGGCTGAGGGGTTGCAGATCCAGGGTGCAGTGTGCGTGTGTGTGTGTGTGTGTGTGTGTGTGTGTGTGTGTGTCAGGGTTGAGGAGCCTCAGAGGGAGCTTTTACAGAGGAGTCTGTTTGCTTGTTTATCTGGTTCAGGAGTCGAATTTCACTATTACATGACAGAACCGAGCCTGCTCTGTAGACCTCACCCCTCCCCTGTGGTTGGCCTAGGTGCCAGCCTGGGGATATCTGCAGGTGGGCAGGGCAGCCAGTGGGCTGAGCAGTGAGGTGCTAGAGGAGGCCAAGACAGGCACTACCAAAGACAGAAGTTAGCTTTGGATCTCGACAAAAATCCAGAAAAGCTCTGGTCGTACTTTCATAGAACTAGGCCAAAAAAACACTGAATGAACGTGTATTATCCTTAGCTTGAATTTGTCAAATGGCTTATTTCTAGTTTCACAACTGGAAGTCTTCTTTGGAAGAACCCACATTTGGGTAGTGAGAATTATACTTTCTGGGCTAGACTCCCTGTACAACTAGAAATGACGATGCATGGAAAGATGACTTTATTATATTTTTATCAGTAGACAAACTTCCTAAAAAATTTACATACTCATATTTGTAGATAAACCCACATCATAAAATGACTAATAGGACACTGTTCTGAATCATGCAGTCTTTGCAGATAACAAGCTGAAAAATGTCTACATCTAATTTTTGAACCTTTTTTCCTAACTTGACAGTTTGTCTATAAACTTTGGGAGAAATAATTTGGATAACTGCATAAGTGACTATACTTTCTCATGGTGTTTCTAATATCTATTTTCATGACTCTTCTTGAATATTATTATCCAAGGTGAACAGGTACATTTTACACACAGTTTTTCCTCCTGTAGTGGTAGGAGGAGCAAACCTCTAATGGGAGCCTTTGCTTGTGACCATTCCACATGGACAGGGTTTCAGGGCAAGTGGAAGTCTTGTCAAAGAGTAAGGCATTTTTGTACCATTAAATCTTCCTAGCTCAAGAGCAATTGCTGCATTCTTCAAGTTTGTCAAGGCTTAGAGGGCCCTCGGAGAGTCTAGGACAGCTCCTTCGAGAGCTAGACAAGGAAGGAGGCTTGGAAGCGGAGGCGGCAGGGGGCTCGGAAGGATGTCTAATGCACCACTTGTTAGATCTGCCTTGGAGGAACATCCCGAAGTCTTGATATGAAAGGTGTGAATGGACTTCCTTGGTCATTATCATACATATGGACCTCTTGGAGCTTTCTGAAGCAGTTTTCTTCTTTTAGTTCCAACTTTTGCTAATACAGTCAAAAATTTTAAGGGGAGCGGAGGGCAAATTAAGCTTTACAGTTGTCTCCTGGCTCCCAGGAACTCTGCTCCAGGTGGTTGTGTGTGGGCTGTGGGCATGTGTCTAAAACCCCAGGAGCCTAAGCACTGTTGAAGGTGCAGAGGTGGAGTAGAGATGGACTGTGTCCTCCAGAAGCTCACTGTCTAGTTGAATAGTGACATGACCCACTCAGCAGACATTTATTAAGGGGGGGAGGGGCACCGTAGTAAGTGGCAGTCCAACTTTCTGAGGAGTTTGCAATGAATGAGTGGTTAAGTAGCAAATACCAAACAATTCAGGCAGAACCGTGAACTTCCCATTGACTAGTATAAACCATTAAGTGCTCAGAAAGTGGAGGAATCACTATGGGTTGGAATGGCCTGTGAAGGCTTTCAGGACGTGCTGGGCTGAGGCAAAAACTCTGATTTCTGGCTGTTTCTCCCATTCATGGGATCTGCTATAGGTTCTCGAATAAAGCACAAAGAAAAGAAGTGTTAATTTCCAAAACTTTAGGGACTCCGGTCAGTCTGTGACTAAAGGTTCTCTCTTGAGTGGCTCACTGCAGCTTCTGCTTCCTCTGGCCTTTCTCCCTTCCTGCCCCGTCCCACTGTACCTCTGTACACCCTTCAAGGCCTACATGTGGTTATCTCTAGCTGTTCTGCATGCTTGTGTGGTGTAGCAATGCTGATGATGTGCTTTTTCCTTATTTTTAAAAAAATCTACTTTTTGAATAGCAGTTTACATAGTTGAAAAACCAAAAGATATGTTATTCCGTAAAAATTCACTCCCTTTCCTTATCCTTGCCTATGCCCTGACTTCTCTCTCCTTGCGGTTGTTATTAGTTTCTTATTGTTCAAGATTTTTTGTCCATATAAGAAAACATAATTACTTTTCCTCCGTTTTGTCCAAAGATGGCATGTTGCATGCATGGTTTGATATCTTGCTTTTCTTCATTTCACAATATAGCTGAGAGTTCTTTCCTAGTAGTAAATAGAGCACATCCTGGTTCTTTTCATCGCTGCATAGTATTCCACTGCATAGATACATGATAATTTATTTAACCAGCTCCCTGTTGTTGGTGACTTGGGTGGTTTTGATCTTTGCTATTTTAAAGCAAGCTGTAATGAATAACCATGCAGGTCATTCACGTGTGTAAATACTATATACAGCAGTATGCTAGTTCTAGTGGTCCGTGGATGGGAAAAGAGGAAGTATGGGTTGAAAGGATTCAAACCCTGGCATGTTCTGTCAGGTCACATCATAACCCAGAAACCTGGCAATAACCTGATAAATATGCCTAATAATAGTAGATATTAGTCCCTGCCCTAACACCTATTTTATAAAGAGACTTGAGAAAACCCCAGTCTTGGCTTCTCCATGGCTTTCACCAGAGTTTTCTAATTTCCAAAGCTGTTTATTTGGCCAGAGGTCATTGGTGGCATTTGCCATTACTGGGCCTGGGCAGCTTCCTACTCTTTTAGAACTTGTTCTTCCAGAGTGCCTTCTGGCCCACTGTGAAATTCTTAGTGCTATGTGACCTTGTTTTTGTAGGCGGGCCCATCTTCGCTTGTGCCTGGAGAAGTTGAAGGGGCTAGTTCCGCTTGGGCCCGAATCGAACCGGCACACTACATTGAGTTTATTGACAAAAGCCAAATTACACATAAAGGTAAGTATATCCTTGGGATTCCTTTTTAGCTTTACCTGTCTAATAAGGGTTTGTCTGTTTATGAGGGACAGCAAATGTGTATCTCCAGGACAGTCCTTTCCTCTAGGGAATCCTCCAACCTGTCTCTTAGATGATTTCTGGCATCCCAAACCCAACATGGCCAGAACCCAACTGAATATTCCTTACCCCTATGTAGAAGTGAAAGGGTTGTCCATTTATTAAGCCAGAAACTCCGGGTCATCCTTGCTAGCCCTTGCTCTGTAGCCATATATATCTAAGTCCTCTCCAAGACCTAAATATTTCACAGGCTCGCTCCCATTTCACCCACCGTCATCTACTGCAGTGAACTCCTCAGAGGCCTCCCTGTATTCCTCTGGCCGCCTCTGAGCTAAGCTCTGTGCCTCCTAAGAATAATCCTTCCAAAGCTCAAGTCAACATGTCACCCTGTTTAAAATTCATCAGTGGCTCAGGACAGACTGTCAGCATGCCTGCCCCAGGCTGTGTGACCTGGCCCTCACCTGCCTGTACAGCAGCGTCTTGTGCCCTATGCCCTTTCAGCCCCTTGCACTTGTCATGGTCTTACCACAGGGCCTTTGTACGTGCTGTTCCCTCTGTTTGGTATGCTTTCCCTACCCTTCTTCACCTAGTTAACTTCTTGTCATCCTTTAGATCTCAACACAGGTATCACTAGCTCAGGGAAACTTTTGCTGACCTGCTTATATCCTTCCTGCCACAGATGGAGTTATTATTGGCTCTTTCTCTCTTAGCACTTATCACGGTTGTCATCTGACCATGGTTTGTGTGACTGTTTGGTTGTCTCCATTGTCGGAGGAGGGGACGAGGTCTTTATGCTCACCTTGTATCCCCAGCACCTCCCAGAGGGTCTGAAAGGGAGTCCGCTTGTAGCACGTAGCTTGAATAGCAAAAGGTGAGGCAAGTGTCACTTTAATTATGGTTAGTGGCATGCATACATGACAATTCTGGAGGGAAAAAGAACCTTTGTTTAGGGCAACATAACCACAGTTAAACAGATTTATAAAAACAAGTGGTATTTGGAAAGGCGTTTAAGCTCTTGTGTTGGACAATTTGGAATCAGGACTTCAAAAGACTGATTGTTCCCTGCTACCAAACAGAAGTTGATTGAGATTTGGAATAACTCGATATTGATATAATTAGATATATATGTTGATATATGTTATAATGTTATATAATATATAGAACATATTAACTGTTGCTAATAATATATAATTAGATATATGTATGTTGATATAATTAGAACACGTAGCTGACGAGCCCTCCTTCTGCATGGCCCACGCCGGGCTCTAGTTCAGAGAGTGGGGTTCAGGGTGTCACCACAGACCGGGGGGTGGGGGGGCTGCTGGCTCTTCCCCGGCGTTAGAGGGGCCGAGCTCAGCCCCCAGAAGCCCTGTGACGGTGCAGGGAGCCGCAGCAAAGTCGGTGCTGCCGAGCCCGAGGCGGGAGGCCCCGGCCCCCGGCCCGCCCTGGGAGAAGTTAGACCACTGACACCCAATGGCTTCTGAGGAAAACTGCCCTATTTCGCGGCTCGAGGGCAAGATGCAGAGTCCTTGGCAATTTTGAAATCGGCCTGCGGGCTCCAACAACTACCGCTCTGACTTGCAGAAACTTGAAGATTGTGACAGAAAAGCCATTCACCAAATAGACCAGCTCCAGCGAGAGCAGCGGCACCTGAAGCGGCAGCTGGAGAAGCTGGGCATCGAGAGGATACGGATGGACAGCATCGGCTCCACCGTCTCCTCGGAGCGCTCGGACTCCGACCGGGGTGAGCGCCCGCCCCGCGCGCGTGCCTGTGCGTGCCTGCGTGCGCGTGCGTGCCTGCGTGCGTGCCGGCCTGTGCCTGCCGGCCTGTGCCTGCGAGCGCGTGCGTGCGCGTCCCCGAGGCAGCGCCGGGGAGGAACGGAGACCCGGCTCGAGGTCGAGTCCCGGGGCCTCCCGTAACGAGCCCGTCTTTCCTTTTCGCACTTAGGCCCCGGGCCCGGAGCAGGGCCTGGCGGGGCTGGCGTGGGGGTTCGGCGCGAGCGCCCCGCAGCCCGCCCTCACCCGTGTCTCTTGTCCTCCCCACAGAAGAAATCGACGTGGACGTTGAAAGCACAGACTATCTCACGGGCGACCTGGACTGGAGCAGCAGCAGCGTGAGCGACTCGGACGAGCGGGGCAGCATGCAGAGCCTGGGCAGCGACGAGGGCTACTCCAGCTCCAGCATGAAGAGAATAAAGCTCCAGGACAATCACAAGACGTGTCTGGGCCTCTGAGAGCGCGGGGTCGCCGCGGCTGCCTCCCGGAGGGCTGTGCCGGCCGAGCGGATTAGGTAGTGTATCGGACCCAGCCGCAGTCCCCTTGCACGTAAGCTTCCGTGTACCACCTGTACCAGAATCAGCTCTGTAAACGTTTTCCGGGAAGTGCTTAGGATTGTGGGTTTCTGACTGCATCCACTAGCTTCTCTTTCTCTCCATAAAAATCCGTCTGCCAGACTGTACATTCCAATCAATTTGAAGCACCCAAGAATTCTTAGGCCGAATAAGCAACTTTCACAGCTCAGCAATCTCCCCCTCTTATGTACTGTCCCCGGTAGTCTAGCAAACCTTTCTTAAAGTTTTCTGGCTGTGTTACTCACCTAGCAGAAATGTCCGAATGTTCTTGTGCTTAGCGAACGGAAGGAAACAAACTTTAAAAGTTGAGATCCTGATCTCAGAACTCCAAAGTAAGCTTTGAAAGCGGCATTTAAGAGCACTTCACCGTGGACCTCACCCCCCGTGAGGAGTCAGGAATACCTCCAGAAAACACCCTTCACACACACGCACACACACACACACACACCCCCTCCGTGCTAATTCCCCCGACCCGCGTGTGGATGGGAGCAGTATTTCTCACTTGAAAGTGGACACCGTGCTAACATGTCTTTGGGGTCGCACAGCTCATGCAAGTTCCAGCATGAACAAACAAGACGGTACAATCTCTCTGTGTGCGATGTTCTTGGGGCCGCGCTGTGTGCTGCTCTCCCAAGGCACGTTTTTCCCTCAAAGTTTGTTATGCTACTTGTCTCTGGAACATTTTTTTTTCCTACCTCAGAGATAAACGAGATCTCCATTTCCCACTTAACACAAAGTGATTATGCCTTTTTTTCACCCCCAAATAAGTGACATTTGGTCCAATTCTAATCTATTTTCCTACTTAACTTTCAGCAATAACTGAGCTTTGGCGCTAGCTGAGCTAGTGTCCATCATCAGTGAAAGGAAAAGTCCGCATTTCTACTCTCTGTTGCAGGTGAACAGGAGGGGATGGTACAGTGTTATCAGAATTCCTCTCCTTATTTTTGGATATACCCAGAAACTTCTTTATGGAGGCTTCTGGGTTTCTAGTTTAAAAGGCTGATCTCTCTTTTTGGTTATGATTTCTCCCTTAAGTGGTCTCCCACTTTGTAGCATTTTTATTTAAGCTAAAACAGAGCACATGTATATGTACATAAGACACATTAAATCTATAAATACTATTTATTCATTTTATATAAACTAATGTAATGGAAAAATTCTTATGACTTTGTGCTTTTATAGATGTTCTAGAAACTTTGTATGTAGGTATCTACAAAATTGGTTCATTCCCCTTAATATTTTTGCATTCATATTTTTGAGGTCGAGGTTTTCAGCCTCTGGCAAATCTTTTTCATTGAATTTGAACCATTTGTAAAACCTGTGACGCTGAAACAGAGTGTGTGTCACAAAGTGACGAGAACATTCCTAAAATCCACAGACGCACTGCAACCTAAGGGCTCCACGGCTGAAGCAGCGGCAGGTGGGCGGGCGGCTGCCCCGAGCCCCCGCCGCCCGCGTTCTCTGGCACCCCAGCCTCGCCACGCCTCCGGCGCCTCCACCTTCCACAAGACTCAAAGTTCAAACGCCCTCCACGCGGAAGCTCATTCTATACACGAAGAGCGGTCTAAACAAAGCAAGATTACTTTTGTTCTTTCATTTTAATGATTCTCTACTGTATTAAAATTTTTAATTGGAAGTAGTCGATTCCTAAATGATTCCAAAGTCATCTGTACTTCTGTTTTTGTTTTGTTCTGGTTTTTTCCTGCATTTCAGCTTTGGGTGGGTGGGGGGAGGGGCAGGTGACACAAAGGATTTTTTTTTATTATTGGAATCTTTTCCAATGACCAGCTAAAGATTTGCACTGAAATACAACTTGTATGCCTTTTGCATTTTTAAAGCCTGCTTCCTGAATTAAGCAGAGTGATACTGTTCAACGAGCCAGCTCAGCCTGTAACATGTTTGAAAAAATATATCTGCACTTTGAGGTCCCTTTCAAATGCCATTCGCTAGACCTCTCAAGCGTTTTAATTGCTACATTCAAGCGCCTCACAAGTCCAAGATGCTGGATGCCGTATGGCATCGAAAACTCAAGACTTTGGGCAAAACTGTGGGCTTGCATTGGGGGAGGGAAGGGAACAGAATTTGTGTATTTGTTCGATTTAGAAATAAGGCATCTGAGAGATGCCGTTATTTTCTGTTTAAGTTAAACTGCATTTTTTGTCTTTTGGTTGAAATATGAAATGTACTGTCCCAATATAAAACAGTAATTATTTGACCTTTGCACTGTTTGTCTGGTCCTTTTCAATTTGATTGCATAGATAAATGTGGAAATGGATATATTTTTAATGCACTTGTGATAAACTGACACCAGGGTTAGACCTTACCTTTCAAAGCCCAAGAGGTGGACCGAATCGGCATGCGAGCTAGGCCTCTCTCTAACCAAAACTGTAACCAGCAAACTCAGTCTGAGGCAGCTACCCCGCCCCTTCCTCACGCAGCTCAGCAGCAGCCCTGATTGCCCAACCTGTCCTGTCATTCACTGATCCACCAGCGTGACTGTTCAGAGCTCTAAAGTCTTTTTGGTTGTTTTGGGGTTTTTTTTTTTTTTAAGCAAAATGAAAAACCTTTCTATGAGGGTTGTCGGAGGGAGGGGATGGGCAAAGATAGAAACCCCAGCCTTTAAGACTTTGACAATTGTACGTAACTATAGAGGTGTGTAAATATAGGCACATGCATATTTTTATGTAAAATTGATTTTAAAAGACGAAATCTATACTCTCACCGATACCATTGCAATGCAGATGAGAAAATAAGAGTATGTAGTCCAGTTTCATGCAGTGAGAAAATACATCTGGGGGCTTCTGTGAACAGCCCAGAAAGCCTAGCTTTCCCCGCCCGTTGGCTTAGAACGGCAGGCGAAGCACCCAGGGGATTGTGTGTGGGTTTCTGCTGCTGAGCAAAGATCTTGAATTCTTCAAGGTGCTGCTAGTGACCACTGACTCCTGTGTCTAGTCACAGACCTAATGCTAGTTTGTGATGCTTTTTGAATCACTTTTTTGAGCAGGACCTAAATTCCTCTCCCAGCCTACCCCAGACTCAATTTCAGGGTCGGTCCAGTGAGCACTACGTAGGACCCTGACCCGGCATTTGGCCCCTGGAGCGAATTTCTTCTAAGGGAAGCGTTTTCCTTTAACCTTCCCCCCCACCCCCCCCAAAAGAAACAGAGGGCCCTTACCTGGGTTTCCTGTGGGCCTCTCTGATCCATCCCTGAAGTGGCCAAGAGCAGATCCTGGGGCCGGGGGGGGGGGCAGAAAAGTGTCAACTAGGTAGGATGGTGATGGTCAAAGTAACTGTCTAGCGGGGTCTTGGGGGTCACGAATGGGTGTTATGGGCTTTTTTCTTCTTGCCTCTGCCCCATCCTTTAAAGAGAAAACTTATTTTTGAAAAGTATATACATACACATTTAGGTTTTTATACCGTGCTGTATCGGCAAGAATACCACTTTCGTTGTGCTTTATAATCTATTCTTGAATCTGTCTTCTCTTCCTTCTTTACTTGTTCCCCAAGCTGCTTTGCCTTCCTCCTCTACCTGCCCTGTGTGTTGAACCCCAGGAAGTCAACGGCTGCAAGGCTATTTCCTGCAGGGCAATCTGGGGTTGGTTTTTTTCCTGTGTCTAACTCTTGGATGCAGTACGCTTAGGTAGCTGGCTGCTGAGTTTTCAAGTCCTTTCTGGGAGAAGATGACCCAAAGACCCTTTCAGATGGGGTGGTTTTTCCCATTCAGATCTCTGTGACTGTGAGATGTCTTGTTTTCGAAACTCTCTGGGGACGGGGAAGGGTATGTGTGTGATATGTGATTTATCATGATTTCTTCGTTAATATTTGCTACATGGATGATTTTCTTATATTTTTCTGAAAGAAGAAATCACTGCCTGGCACTGCTAGAATCAGCTACTGAATGGCTGAAGAAATGGAGTATCTTTGACTTCTCTCAAAATCATAAAATGAGAATTAGTAAGGCACCCAATTCTAAGGTTTATCCAAATTTTTCATTTTGATTTCTTATTCTGTGGGGGGTGGTGAGCTGATGGGTCATTCTTCATTTTCGCTTTTACCTGAGAACCAAACTTGCCTTTACCCCCTTGTCCCTAGACTTGGTGCTCCGGCAATATTGCTGTTAACCATCAATGTTGGGGTCATCTTCCTGGTGGTAAACACAGCCTGAAACAGGGGAGCAGCAGATGAGAGAGTATGGAATTCTGTTTCCAGATGTTTATTTCTTTATGTAAATATGAAGCCAATGTAAATCCTGTGTCAAGATCTAGAGAATGGTGCTTTTTACTACAGTTAGCACATGCATTTTTAGAACTACTACATGTTTTAGAGATCTTTGCTGTGTATATGTAAATTTCTGTACTGTTCCACTGTTAACAAATAAATTATTTCATTATTAAAGAAATGTTGGTCTTCCTGATGTTTTGTACCCTTTCATGGTTTTTACTTACGGAACTGAGTTAATTAATCAGACTTCTTAATTTCCTGGAAAATTCACTGGCCAAAAATGTTCAGCTCTCGGGTTCTGTGATAAGAATTTAGGTGGCGCGGCCTGGGCAGAGCTCGTGCGTTGCTCAGAACCGATGCCATGTGGTTGCTGCTCTCACCTGTTCCCTGCTCCGCACTCGCCCTGGGCTCCCTGGTCACCGCGCCGGCGCCCCTGCTCATGCCCACACTCTGCTGGGAAAGACAGGATGTAGTCACAATTTAACGCCACATAGTCAGTTGAGGAATAAAGTTGGGCAGGGACCTGCCATGAGAAATCACAGCGGTGGTGGCTTTCCAGGTGGGCCCTGGAGAAAGTGGGTGTCTGCTAGGACAGGAGCGAGCCTGCAGGGAACGGTGGGGAGGGGGGGGGCACGTGGTGTGTGATGGACACGTGCAGGGAGGACAGCCGACCGTGAAGGACACATGCGATTGAGAGGAGACAAGGCACCTGCTTTAGGGGTTAGTTGTTTCACGTATGAACCCATTTAGTTAATTGACATTCACTCATTTAGCAAATAGGGATTGAGCCGGGCTCTGTCGTAGAGCTGAGGGACACATGTAGAGACAGAACACAAAACCCTGCCCTTTGACACCGCTTTCTAGGGTCACTGACTGGCTCTGGCCCTCGGGCCCCGCCCGGCAAGCCTCTGAGCCCAGCGCCATCCCCACCTGCCTCTTCTGGCTCCCTCAGGAAAGCACTTGTTTAGAGTCAAGAGGAGAGAAAAGGGTGGCTTTCTCCCTCTTGACTAGTGACCTCTTATTCTTAAAACCACCTAAAAATTCTGAAAGGTTTTTATGGGGCCCTAGAAGTTACCTATGATGGTCCGCAGCCTGCGGGGCTTATTAAAAAAAAAAGGATCTTTCTGGTACTCCCACTTGGGAAAAGTAGCCTCATCCTCCTGCTTTTTCCAAAAAGCAGGGGCCACATGCTGGGCCAGTCTAGGATGTGTGATTCTAGAACCCACCTCAGTGGACAGGTTCCAAAGCAAACCCACCAGAGAGGGAACGGTCCACAACAGGGATGGAAGGCGCGATCCGCCGCAGCGCCGGCTCCCTGTTTACTGTGACCAAGGACAGGAAGCTCTGAGCCGCAGATAATCACGAAGTCAGCTTGCACAGACAGAGAGCCTCCCCCGCAAGATGACAAATCTTACTCCCAACATTTCCTGACTTTGCTTGTTCACAGTAGCCTGATGAAGTGGCCTTCCTTCTGCCGTGTGGGTCCACGTCACCCTGATGGTCAACTCAGGCCTCCTGGAACCCCGACGTCAGCCCTGGAGGTGACTGCGGTCATTAGCCCCATCTCTGGGGGCGCCGGGACACAGGCGGAGGGAGGCGAGCCGTTTGGCCCCCAGTCCACAGAGTTGGTGGACTCGGACTCCAGAGCCCACACTCCTTTGCCTCCGTTTTTGCAAGAGGTGTGTCACCCTGCAATCCGTTTTCCATATTTGGCATCTTTTCTTTTTAAAGCCTTTGGATGCAGCGATCTATTTTCTGTGAAGGGACCTTAGGTTCCAGTTAATGAGGCAGAAACCAGGAACACACAAGACCACTGTGGATTGCCATTGCTAAGTCAGTCATCGTCCTCACTTCCATCTTCATTTCCCTCTCTGTCCCTTCCGAGGGTTAGCATCTGACTCCTGAACCGCACGGGGCTCTTGTGACAATAACCCAGCAGACTCCTGAGGAAGACATTCTTTCTCTACCACGTCTTTTGGGTTGTGAACCCTGTGACATCATTTTATTCAACCAGTATTTACTTAACACACTTCCACGTAGCCTTGGAGTTCCCTTTAATCCAGTGCCACTTTGGTCCACCTCTTAGACGTCACCAAGACCTAGATGAGGAGGGACACAGCAAGGTTCTCTGCCAAGAGTCTCTGGAATAGCAGCCTCTCATTTCCGCTAACCACTCGGGCCTTCCCATCCATTAAGGGCATTTGGCTTCCGGTGGCCAGAGGCCCCACAGGCAGGGACTCCGCAGGAAGCATTGTTCAGGGTTTGGCACTGACTGGGTGGCCACTCTGTCCCGCGAGGAATTCATGGGACGTTTTTGTGGGGACCACATGAAGCAGATGGGACCACTCAGTGCTGACTGGGGGTGAACATTTGCCCAGAGGAAAAAGCAGCTGCATGTTGGAGGCAAGTGACGGACACGCTTTTGGCAGACAGGAGGGCAGGCTCTGCCGGGCTGCAGCTTCTGGGATCTGCCCTCCCTGTGCATGAAGGCAGCATCTCTGGTAAAGACAGGCTGAGGATTTAGTGGGGAAACTGAGGCAAGAGCCAGCGCAGAGCAAAGCGTGTGGCCCCAAGGCCAGGACGGAACTGGTGGCCGGGGGACTCAGGGGCTGGAGAGATTCACCGAGGCCCTGAGGGAAGAGAGAGGAGCCTTTGCTAGGGTGCTCTTGGCCTCACCTGGGGGCAGAGGTGAGCAATGACACCCACGGTAGGGAGCTGTGTGTCAGGAAAACGTCCACCTTCAAGGAAACCATGGGCCTGGGAGAGGAGACACCCGGGAGGGCCTAGGGGACAGAGGAAAAGGGAGAAACACCAGCCCAACCAATGCTGTTGGTCACCCAGATGGCCAGGCTGGATAACACCTGGGGGCAGTCCCCAGCCTGCCCAGTGGCCAGTAGGGCTGGGAGACCCAAACCATCTGCTGGAAAGGTCGTCATTTCATTAAAAAACGTCTGACAAACTCTTGCCTTGCTGATATTCCCATCGCCCAGGAGGGAGAAG